TGCTTTCAATCCCTCACAGAAGTAAAAGTATCATCATCTAAATCAGGGGTCGGCAACCTTTTTGATATGAAGTGCCATTTAAAAAAAAAATTGTTATCAGCGTGCCGACGATCGAGAATTATCAACGGGGGGGTTGAGGAGCTTGACGCTCGTCAACTATCAGCAGGAGGGGGGGGAGCTCGCGGGGGAGGCAGTGTGTGGACCTGTCAGCGCATGACATCAATGCCGAATTTAACAAACACATTTAAATATTTTGTTTAAACGGCATAATAATAAGGACGATCGTCCGTTCTGTGATTCTCCAGAGCACACATGTTATGATATTTGGAGTCAGAGTTAGATGAGATCGCTGTCCCTTTAAGAGATAGAGAGGGGTGTGGCTTGTGCATGTGTGTTGTGTGGATGGTAGAGCGACAGTGAGGGAACGTGTGTATGTTTCTGGAAGTGAAACGAGGAAGTAGAAAAACAGAGGTCTGTGATGTATTTTGTGAAACAGAAGAACAGCTAAATAAATGCAACGGCCTCCCAAGAAGAGCTCGCCTCTCTCCAGTCATTTAAGCTTAAGTGGGTTTTTGAACCTGAAGCTTGTTTCTTCTGCCCTCCTCGACTACGGTCTGGGAGCCGACAGGAAAGTTCAACACACAGATGGCCAGTCCGCCCCTTTGTAGCATATCATTTCGATAAGAGATGAGCAGATCGCCACTGGGCTTTCAACTAAAGACACAGCCACACAAAAACTGCGGCATTTGTACAGCTCCTTATGGGTACTGTACTGCTGCAATTTGTGAAGTGCTTTCCTCCGTGGTGAAACGATCAGCACTGCACCACAGAGGAAAGCGGCAGAAAGTCACCTGGAGTTAAAGAGAGCGGGCTGCGTTGCGTGCATGGCTTCCTTCTGCAGGTAACGGGGAGACGCGCTCTGGCGGCGGTCTCGTTCAGGATCCGAAAATACAATTTCAATATTTTTGCAAACTTATTCCACTTATTCCTAGTGTGCCACTGGTTACGGTGCCGCGTGCCAATGCTGGCACCATACTTGCCAACCTTGAGACCACAGAAATCGGGAGCATTTCAAAATGTTAGATTAACATTAACATGCTTATTGTAGTTAAGTGCAATGCCTTGCGGCCTGTAGCACCATCCTTGATGGAGCATATGTGTGGCATCTAAAAACAGGGATGATAGCTCATATATGAGACTTCAAAGGGCTTTTATTTTGAAACTCTACATCAGAATGTCCTGATTTTTTCTGAGTGACTAGATGGGATGTCCTGCTACTGTATCACCCTGAAGTGGGGGGGGGTTTACCTAGTGGTTATTGGCTAATGGTTACACAAGCCAAAAAATCGTTATGACATCATAAAGTGGCCAAAATCTGATCAGCTCACAAACAGGTTTTTAAATAAATGGATCTGGTCAAAAAGCGAACTAATCTTTTTTCCTCAACTTTTAGAATCTCTTTACACCGAAGAGACACATGTTTATAAAATACATGAACAAGTGGATTTTGCATCATAGGTCCCCTTTAATGTTTACATTCATTCTTTGAATATTTTCCACCAAGTAAATAAATGCTTTATAGTTTGAAACTTATCCACTTAGCACATTAATGATGTCCTAAAATCCTCATACTGTGGCCACTGAATCTGGTCTGAATTTCCTTTATTTTAGCCATTTATTAGATAATCTCAGCCTCACTTGGAGCAGAGGAGCCTCAGCTCCATCCAGCCATTGATTTGAGTGCTCAATAATTCAAATAATAGTAGGGTAGAGCCGGCAATGAATCACCAGTCATGTTGTTTTGGTGTTAGGCAATGATCCTTGCAGGCATGCCAGCTAAATCACCTTGTGACGTTATGGATGGGGTCATTTGCAATTGTGCCATGCTTTGATTACACGGTGTGACGATGGATCCTTCTGACCTCAATGTGATTTTGAAGAATTTAGCTCACAAACTCTGAATGGATCCTCCAAGACTTCCACACACCAGGTTGATTGGACGTAGGGAGTTTTATTTAAACAGTACTGAAAAGCTTTTTGACAATGTTCAGAGTTAAATGTGAGTATTTGTGTTCAGGGATGGTCTGATGGAAAATGTGCCTTCCAGTTACATTGTGGAATATGTTTACCAATTAGAAAATGGGTATAATGTCGTCATATGACATGTGCTGTAACCACGTGGCATCCAACACACTCCCCAAGTCACACAAACAGTCTTTCTCAGTCGGAATAACACAAGAAAACAAGACAGAGACCGATACAGGGTCGAGGATTTATCAAACTTAAATAGGACATTTATTTCGGTGTTACACAATGAACATTATACAGCTAGGGGTTTGATAATCAACATTATGCAAAAGATCCTGCACGAATGAAAGGCTTGAATTTGTTATGATGTTTGTACATGAAATGAATATGTAAAGTGTTTCTTATTAAGCCCAGCCCTGCATCTCTCTGAGTTAGAAGCTTCAGGATTGTATTACCAGCTGTGCCGTATAATAAAGTCTCTTTCTACAGAGACTTTCTGCTTAAGATGTTTTATCACAAAATAAAACATCATGAGCATTTCAATTTTTGTACGTTTCCTAGATTTGCAGGTATTAACAGGAGGTATAGCAGAAACGAATGATACCAATATTCCTTTTCTTTTAAAGCAAACAACCTAGAAAAATGGATGGCAGTGACTAAAACCAGTGAGGAAGCACCGTTATCTCATCATAACATTTGCTTCAAAGCTACATTTGTTAAAGAAAGTTTTATTAACATAAGTTCCAAAATACTGGCATTGCTTAGCTCTTCATAGCAATATAATACCTACAATTAAATTACATATTTTTACCGGGTTTTTTTTACATTCTTGGTTGTGGTTGTTGTTGAGTTAGAGTTGTGCATTATGTAGCTTATTCAAGGAAAGAAAACAATCAACAGTCTTCATTTATCGTCAAGAAGCTTAGTTTTTTGTAATTATGAAGACTATAATGATGAGAAGGTTGTAAAATCCAAACACCAAGATCACAACTCCACCTGACCACTCTAAGACCATTTAAATAAATAAATAAATAAAAATCCATAAAAATCTCAATATCTTCTGTCAACCTGAGCAGGTGCTAGTTTGATAAAATTCTCTTTTCCAGTTGAATAATGATGCCCTTCTCTGGTCGCAGGATGAGCTCTCCTAATGGCCGTAGATCTTCACGTTTCTGACAAGCTTCAACACTAAAGTTACGCAGGATGGCTGCCAAGACCACCTTTTCCTCCATGAGAGCGAAACGCTGACCTGAGGGGGATTACAGACAAACACAATCCGTGGTTACTCTCCAGAGAATCTCTGAGGAAAATCTGGAAAACATGCTTGACGGATCTGATCAACTATAGACAATCAAACCTTTCCTGTTTCTTACCGATACAGTTACGGAGTCCAGCGGAGAAGGGGATGTACGCATACGGAGGCCGTCCCACTGCATTCTCAGGCAGGAAGCGCTCAGGCCTGAACTCCTCGGGCTCAGGGAAGTAGCGCCGGTCACGGTGGAGAGCGTAGGTCAAAACGATGGCATTTGCACCTTTGGGCACCTTGAAACCATCTACAGGTATAAATAAACTGAGTTACTTTTATAAAATGGTGGTTTTTATTTTTGTACAATAAATGTAATCTCACAAAGAATTATAAGTTTCAGGTGAAAATGACAGAGGAATTATTATCTTATTAAAAAAAGAATGTGCTGTTTTAATAGAGTGTGGTCACTCACTGATATGGCAGTCTTCACCAATGTTGCGGGCAAAGAAAGGCACAGAGGGAAACAGTCGCAGGGCCTCCTTGATCACACACTCCAGGTATTTGAGCTTCTTCAGGTCCTCTATGTTAGCAGGCCGGTTAGATGTACCTTTGTCCAATAAACAAAAACAGTGTTCAAGTCAGAACACCGTACAGATAATACGAAACAGAGTGTAAACTAGGTCAGACTGCTAACGTTTTGCACTTTCTACTTCTATATCCTTGACATATATTCTACTTCTATGGTAGATAAGAGTTTGATAGTACTGCATTGTTTAAGTGACACACGCCATTGATATGTTGCTTTTAATTAGGAGTTCAAAAGTCACTGCTTTACTGCCTACATTTCAATAGATAGACTATACATCTAATTCAAGAAATCTGCAGTTAGTTAATGTAAATAATAATTTAAATAGGCCTATTACAACAAAATACAGTAACAAAATAAAGAACATCAACCTGGTGTTAGCTTAGCATCTGTTACTTCAACAGAGCCAGCTTGCGTCATGGAAAAATGCTTTGAGGCCATCGTAAATCCACAAAGGAGTGAAAATAATTCAATTCTTCTTTGTGTTTTTAGGCAAATATTTTCACAGCTAATATCTCTGTATAAGCCCCATTAGACTTGTAACAGATACATCTGAGTCAAAAGGCCTTTGGGAAGGAAAACAAATGAGGTCATGAAAGAGAGAAGGTGTGGTATTTGGGGAGAGGGCATGTTACCGAACACCTCCTGGAGCTCTTGTTGAACTCGGCTGTGCGCCTCGGGGTGGGCACCCAGCAGATGCACGACCCAGTTCATGGAGGCTGCTGTAGTGTCATGGCCCTGCAGAAAAAGGGGAGTTGAATACACATTTAATAGAAAATACTTGGGTTAATAGATTTTGTTAGGACCACTTGGGGACAGAGAAAAAAGCTTGAAAATGAGCCATAAAATAATAAAGTTATTATAGTGAATGTGTTGTTGTACACATTCAACAGACACAGAGAAGCGTTAGCAGTGCTTTGCTGTTTTGGTTTTCGAACAATCCAGGCAAGTCTAATATAGTTTCATGAAAAAAAATGTAACTAACCTAATACAAGTAACACAAAGTTCAAACATTAACACAATACATTACAAAGACAGTCAATCATGATTTGATATGATAAAGATTGATAGTTTCTTTTAGGGTATGACAGTGTGTTTTGGAAGTGTATCATATGCTCATGTATGCCAAACTGTGACCAGAGGAATGTGCATTTATGTCGGGGAGAAATACATAAATAAATAATCTTAGTTGTATATTTGTATCCACTAACCTCAAACATAAAGGTGTCCACTTCCTCCTGAATTTCCTGATTGTTCATCCTGTTGCCATCTTCATCGGTGGTCATCAAGAGCATGTCCAGAAATGCTTTTCTTCTCTTTGTGCCATTGTCAGAGTCGTTATCTGATTCAATATGGGACATTTTTTCAGATCTTTCATGTATCACCTGAGAGGAAATGAGGGTCAAGGTTAAGGCTGAATGCTTTAAATTGATTCCACACATTCTCCACATTTAGATTTTCAAACCACAGGCTCCATTACTCACTTTGTTTGTAAAGGAGTGCAGGACCTTGAGTGTCCTGTCATGCTCCCGTCCGTCACCAAAGTAATTGTACACAAAGTTAGGCCAAAACCAAGGTGTCCTCTGTCTGCGGCTGATAATGTCACTCATCCTAAAGACAAAAAGTTAGGATGGAGGCAAAATATTCATAATAATCATACAATTTGACCCAATAACTCTATTATTGTCTGTGTTGTGATGACAAGATTACTCACTTGTACACACTCTTAACATATTCTGAGTCAGAATTACTCTGGGCGTGAATCTTCTTTCCCATTGCGGTTTCTGAAAAAGAAATGTTGGATATTTGTTGGACATCTTTCTTATTGTCCTACTCACATTCACTTCAAATTTACTCACCACATATAATGTCCAGGGCACACAGGGTAATGTGATTAAAGCAGTTAAATGGACCCTTCCCCGCCTGCTTCTCCAGCTTCTCCACCAGGATCTCCGCCTGCTCGTTCATCACTTCCAAGAACTCTGTCAGGATGGAGAAGTGGAAGGTGGGAGTCAACATCTTCCGCCGCTGACGCCACTTAGGGCCAGTGCTGACCAAAAGAAGAAGACAACAAGGAGAGTTAAAGGGTTTGGAAGAACAACATCCTATTTAAATATCCTTATATAAATCTTAGGTCAAGGTACAGGATGAAACCAAATGACAGAAGTGGCAATGATGAACTTTTGGTTAAGATGTTCCCTTTGACATTTTAGAACATTTAGGGAGTTAGTTATCGACAGCTCCTCTATTCTCAACACATTTGTTGTTGTTTGTTATTTTAGCATCTGCTACATACCATTCTTTTACTCATCAATACATTTATTGCACCGCTGACTCCTTCCATATCTCCACATCTCATCTTATGTGCTCTACATATACCATTCATTAGACTTTAGAGACCTTGTGTTACAAGCCTTAGCCTAAATAGAATTGGTTGTGGACCTGATAACAACAGAATAAACTTGGAGTGACCCTCTGGCCTTTTTCCTGGTATTTCAACTGGAACACACACTATTGTTCCCCGGGCGGTGATCCTTTTATTTCAAACACCACCTTCAGTTTAAATTAATAATTGATTACAAATAATCCATGTAAATGAACCACATTAATAGTGGTAATCCCTTAAACGTTATCAACCCTCACCCCAAACGTCCACAAATTACTATGCAATTCACTTTTTGAAACATTTATAATTCTCTACCACCACCTTCTGGCTGATATAAACAATGTTTTTTTATTTCAATGTAAACACACTGCAACTAAGAACCTTCTTAGACTTAGTCAGTGATGTAATGTAACAAAATACATGTACTGTACTTAAGTAATACATTTAGGTACTTGAAGTTTACTTAAGGATGTTTACATTATGCTAGTTTGAACTGTTACTTTATTACATTTGAGGGAAATATTGAACTTTTTACTCCACTAGATTTATTTTACATATTTAGTTACTAGTTGCTTTGCAAATGTAAGTTATTAATACAAGACATACATCCACACATATTATATTATACTATTATAGGTTAAACAGTAGTGTATAAAATAATTCCAACAAACCCAACATTTGCCATGTTCAACAGTGAAGTGGTGAACAAATGAATGCACCAATAATTGTAATAAAAAAATAAAAAAAGATATCTGGTGCTTTAAATGTTACTTTAGTAAACAATCTGACTACTTCTTCTACCTCTGGACTCACTCTATAGTATGCATCTGGGACTCATGGTCCTATTATGTTATGGTTGAGATGATATTTTTGTTGTCTTTGTTGTTGTTTAAAGCCAGCCAGAGTTTTCTTTATGCTAGGACTTTGTTTTTCTTTTTACGTATTAAAGCCAGATGTGTGCTATTTTATGATCATCATCACAAGAGTATTTTAATATCAAGCAGAAGGAGCCAGAGAATGATACCTAGTAAGAAGTCCAGTTCCAAGCCAAGGGTGAAGGAAGGTGTATGCATAGGATTTCTCCATATGAACCGCATTGGTCAGAACGGTCTACAAGCAACAAGTGCAAAACAAAATGTAAACGTAAGGAAGAATAACCAATTAAACAGCAATGTTGTTATTCAATAGCTGCAGATGTGAGCAGTTGCAATCATGTAGCAGTAGCAGTGGCTGACAGTGTGTACAAGTTCAATTGACATTCAAAAGACCATGTTATCATACGGAGTGCGAAAGGTTAAGGTCTATTCCAGGGGTTGATTTGCTGAAATGGAGTTTCAACGTACCATGCCTGCTTCATTTAAGGCCAGTTCTAGACATGATACGAATGAGTGTCAATAATGAAGCTGGCTTGCTAATATATTGTTACGAACACCTCTTGAGTATAATTGACTTTACCACAGATGTGCATAAAAAAAAGATCACATGTTTTACTCTTATTCGTGCAACTACTGAGACTTATATATTCAGAAAGAAAATACATGTGGACATTCACAGATAACCCCACTGACTGCATACTTGGTGTTTAAATGTAGAGTTGTCAGTCACTGTACCTCAACATTCTCAGCATGAAAAACAAAAACACACATGGAAGTGTTCCAATCCAGAATTTAAATAGCGGTGCATCACTGAACTCACGAAAAATCCTGAATTGAGACCAAAGAAATCTGAAAAAAGTCAATATAAATTACACACTTACAGTAAATTATACAGAGCATCAAGCAAAACACTAACTTTTCAGTCAAAGTCTTTTGTATCATATGCAGCCCTCCTGTAGCAGAATGTTGATTTTTGTCTTACCCCTGCTGGATTGTTTTTTGAAGCATTTTTTTTTTTTATGTTTTTTAGTGCAATTTCCAATGATCGGAATAGTTCCTTCCAACTCTGGAATAGGCTTCATGTGAACCATTGTTGCAGGTAACCGCTGAGCAGCCTGTAGGTGATGTAAGTCAGGTAGCAATGACAAAGCTGGTTTCCAAATAAAGCAATAGGTAACTACCGAGTAACACATGCCATCGTGTCTGCTGTGTCTTGTGTGTTTGTGTGTGTCAAATAGCTGGAGGGCTGAACACCTGTGCCTTTGCTGCGGACAGTGACATGTGTTTGCCCCCTCCAGTATTTGAACACACAGCACACGCAGACCTGCAGAATACGATGGCGGTTACTCGATGAGTTTACAGCTATGTTATTGCCCAGTTTGGCATGCGAGTCTGCTTACATCACCTACAGGAGCACAGAGGATACCTGCACATGTCACAATGAGCCTGATCGATAGAAGGAACTATCGATCATTAGATGCACTAATGTTCAAAAACATGAGGAGGTTAAGACAGAATAACATGCTGTACAGGATGTTAATTGATGATACAAAAGTACTTGACTGAAAAAGTTATGTTGACTTGTTGTGTATCAGAACGACTGCTAAGCCAAGGGCCTTTGTACTCTATTTATTTTCTCAGTTGTCATTTGTGAAACAATTTGATGTCACGTGAGTTCAATGGATGCACTGGCTAATAAAAACTGCATGAACACTTATCATTTGTGATATTGTATCATGCTGAAAAGCATTGTGTTACGAATAACTGCAACATATAAGGGGATGCAAAACACACTAAGTTGCAGTCACATGAATTCATCTGTAAATATCCAAATGTATTTCATCTGAATATACAGGATACAGCAATAATTACACTAACACAGTGAACTATTGCACATACTGTTAACTAAAAAAATTAATACAAAATAGAGCCAAAAAAGGTGGCAATGACTGACAGTAACAGGCCATAATAATAATAAGCCCTTTTTTTTTTTTTTTAGCTTTAAAGGTGACCTATTGATTCCAATAAAAGTCCAATGTTTTCATGTCTTTTATACATAAAGCATGGGCGTCCCTCTGTGTAAAGAGATTCTGAAAGTTTCAGAAAAATATTCACTCACTTTTTGTCTGATCCATTTAATAAAAACGCTTGTCTGAAAATGTGGCTGATCAGATTTTGGCCACCTTTATGATGTCAGGCAAAGATTTTTGTCCGTTGTGTAAAGGCCATTAGCCAATCAGCGGCAACCAAGTAACACCGACCTACCTTTTCACCTGAATGTCTTCCTAGACCACGGCATTGTGTTATTTTTAAAGCAAATACCTCCTCTCAGAGGGGGCCGTGGGGAGGGGCTCTCTAATTCTTCATCTAAAGAACAAGCAGAGAATCAAGCACTTTTGAACAGGCCTGAAACAGAGGGGATTATGGATGCTACATGGGTGATCTGTTTGGTTGTTTCAGCCAAGAGCCTTCAGAGACAGTTTTTTTATATCTGAGACTTAATATAATTGAAGAAAACAGTAATAATAGGGGACCTTTAAAAATGTCCTTTAAGGCCAAGTACTACTGTATTAACCTGAGGGGGGTTCACAGGGTGTTTATAAGTTGAAAAGGGCATTATCTGTTCGGCTATAAGCGAGGACGGCAGGCCACCTGAGAGCCATTCAAAACCAAATTAATTATATTACTTAAAAGATTCGAAGCATTGTCAGGCCGTCGAGGTTTTAAAATTGGCTAATGGCTCTCTTTGTGGTATGATGATACTGAGGTCATATCAAAATACTAAATTACTGTAATTTTTTGTTAAGAAGAAGATTGACGGGCCTTTAATTGATTCAGTTGAATTCAGGCTTCCACCTCTGTTATTATACACAGGGTATATACTCGTGCACACACGGCACATGGAGAGTCAGGCCAGTCGGTCCGGGGCCAGTTGGGGGTTTGGCGCCTTGCCTCAATGGCAGCCTCAGCAGGGGGCCCCCAGAGGTGGAACTGGCACCTCTCGCAGCTACCGTCATATGGTTATTTTTGGTCTGAGCCGATCATTTCCGGTTTTGGGTGGTAATGTAAGTATTTTTGTTGCTGTTTGAATCAGGCTCTCTGTGACACTGTGGTCTCAAACAGAGATTGCACCCATTAGTGCTCTTGAAAGGCATGAGGAAACTNTCAGATAATATGTTTAATCCAAAAATATCAACACAAAAAGTCAGGGATTATCCAAAGTAATTGTAATTCATCCTATGGGACACATATATGTATGTATGTTACATACATACATATATGTGTCCCATAGGATGAATTACAATTACTTTGGATAATCCCTGACTTTTTGTGTTGATATTTTTGGATTAAACATATTATCTGATACTAGTGGGTGTTGAGCAGGAAGGCTCCTTCCCTTTGGAAAAACTAAATGTTCAACACAACGTCACATTTGTTTGTTTCTCATAGATTTATCAGTGGTTGGAAATAGCTTTGTTGTCAAAAGCTCGCTTGGAAGAAGAAGTTTCGATCACTTTTGATAACAGGTTCTTGAACCTAAAGGTAAATGGTTACTGCCTTTCTTTTTAAAAAGTCAGATGTCAATGTTGTGTTACACTGAGTACTGGACCTTTGACACTTTTGCAGATGCCATCAGATCACAGATGTTCTAATCTATATCATAACAACACTTTACGAGGTGAGGTGTCTGGTTTAAAGAATCACAAAATGGTAATATCATATCATTAAAAGCTTTAGGACATTTTGGGACATACAGCTTTTAAAATTAGGATAAAATGACTGTTTCCGACGGATTTATCATCAAAAAATACTTGGAAAATAAATATTCCAAATAAGGGAGTCCCATCTGGCAAAGCGTTCCGAGTCCGCTGCAGAAACCTGGTTTATGAACTCCAAAACAACCCAAAGACAGCGGATCAAGATGTATTATTAGTACTTTTGCTGCTAATGATCACAAAACAATACTTGCCATTGTAAGTTAATTGCAAGCTTTCCATTTAGATTACAATATATATTACGCACACCATCCCTCTGTCATGGAAAACTTCACACATCAAACCGCTGCCCAAAAGAACATAAGGACTACAGACCAATAGCCCTCACCTCAGTCATTATGAAATCACTAGAAAGAATTCTGCTCCGATTTCTTATCAGGACAAAACGAGACAAACTGGATCCATACCAATTTCCCTATAAACAAGGGTGCGGCACGGAAGATGCTGTGGCCCCTCTGGTTCACATCATCACTAAACATTTAGATAAACGCAACACCTATGCAAGAACCCTCTTCCTAGACTTCTCATCAGCATTCAACACAATACAATCAGACATCTTGGTGTCAAAAATGGCCAAAATGGAAGTAAATCCATACCTTATTTACTGGTATGCTGCTTTCCTCACTAGTAGAGAGCAACTTGTGAAGGTTAACAAAACCCTGTCATCTGCCATCACAACCAATGTAGGGGCCCCCCAGGGCTGCGTGAGTTCAGCTGTGCTCTTTACTCTCTACACTGATGATTGTCGTACCAACACACAAAATCAAGTCATCATTAAGTACTCTGATGACACTGCAGTAATATCTGTGCTCAGTAACACAGACGACCCTGAGCTGCACCAACAGGCTGTACAGGTGGTGGAGTGGACTGATAGCAACGCTCTTGAGATCAACACCAAGAAAACTGAGGAAATCATTTTTGGCTCACCATCTGACTCCCATAAAGTCCCCATGGTCATCCATACAGATGAAATCAAGCAGGGAGTTTCATATAAACACTTGGGTGTAATGATTGACCGCCTGCTGTCATGGAAGCATCACATTGAATATCTGAGCAAAAGGACAAAACAAAGAATTTATTTTCTCCGCCGTCTTAGGTCTTTTGGGGCGAGCAGAGAAATTATTCTGTTGTTCTTTACATCTGTGATCATGTCTGTTCTGCAGTACTACCTGGTACAAATGTTTGTCAGCAGCTTTAAAATCAAAACTGCTCCACCTGTTAAAAATCTGCTCAAAGATTGTTGGTCAACCCTGTCAGAGACTCTATGACTCAGCATCATAACAACCTAGTGAGGCTGTCCAACAACATCATCTCTGACCCAAACCATGTTCTGAACAGTGAATATGACAAATAAAGTAATATCGTTTCGTATCTGTTTGGTATTTCGAGCCAAACACTTCAGAGACATATTTTGTATATATCTGAGACCTATAATATTACATATTGATGAAAAACAGTATAATAGGGGACCTTTAAAGTGTGTGGATATCCACAAACTTTAGTGCAGATATTTTGTTGTAGTACTGTGTGAATATGACTCCCGTTCACAGGCCAAGCCATTTTTTGTGAGCGCAACAAAACAACAAATGGATGAAGATGAGGTTGCGACAGACTAACCTTATTGTTCTGCCAAAGGTCCCTCAACTCTCCCCTGCCTGGCAGTTACATTTTACTTTGCATTGCAGCAAAGTCATATTTCTCAACATTTCAGTTACTTGCAGCAACAGTAAGGAAGCTACATTTTTACAGCAGTATAATTTACACAAGAAAGAGAGAATACCAATTCCAGAACATTGTTGTTTAACATGCAAGGCATTAGATAGCTGGACATGTGACACTGGGAGAAGATAAAATAAATGTTTGCAGACATTTGCGCAGTTTTGGATTCCAAAACAAGTAATCTATGAAGCAATAAAGCCCTGGTCAGCACATTTGGGGACACAAGATTATCCATGGGGTCAATGCATGATTAATAAAGAGAGGCAAAGGGTGAATTCACATTGCAGAGAACTATCTAAGAGAGGTGTTTCACAAGTTCAGCCATGGTACGTGAAACAGTTTATAAGTGATCCGCCTTTTTGTACTGGGCAGTTTCAACACAACACCCCAAGAGGGCCTTCCATTAGTCTAAACTTTGTTAAATTAGTTTTGTTTTTCCATAATCCTTTTGTTATTTGTTGAAAAATATATGTATCAGTGCATGGTTTTCATTTGTTTTGTCATATTTCAGAACAATGAGTGTAAAACATCTGCTATCTAAAAATCAATATTTGTATGGATTAATATACTATGGCATCCTGTATTTAAATTCTGCAGACAATGCTTGATTTGACAAGGATGACTTTCTGTCTTTACAGTTTGTCCCACAAATTCAATACTGTTGCTCTTTTGTTGAAAATGTTCTGTGTTGTGATCCTTAAAACAACATGAAAGATTTCAATCTGACTTCTCTCAGAGACCCATACGTCCTTGGGCATTGTGATGTGATGGAATTAAACCACTTCAAGGCGGCAAATGATGATACATTTCCTATTTCACTTCCACACGTGAGACTTTGTTAATTAGAGTTTGAATTATTGTGACTCCACGAAAAGAGGAATAAACCTGCTTTAAGGACACAATAGAGCCTCACATACAAGAGAGCCAGTATCAGTAATTTACAAAATGACCTTAGTTAAAGTGGCCTGCTTTTAAATAATGTGTAGTTCAAATTGATGTCCAGAGAGAGGCAGCAGTGTATGCTTACATAAGCGTGTGCAGTGGAAGGACATCCATGAGTTCCTGTGTTCTGTACTTTGTGTGTGTGTGTGCGTGTGTCAGTCAGTGAGTAAAGGGAGAGTGAGAACAGCAAAAACAGCAAAATGTATCTCTTTTCTTAATGCCCAGTGGTTTCATGATGAGTGGACAGCTGTACTCAGCATGTGTACAGTGTTTAGAGCCTTTGGGTCTCAGATTATCTGTGTTCTGACACTTGAATGAGACACGATAACGTTGCAAAAGTCCCTTAAAAAGTTAATTACCAGTATGTCCAGGTCTAGGGAATTTTGGCTGGGACTTTGGCTTGCGTCCAATAATCATTTAATTCAATCCTCATCCCCTTATCATGACAATTATAAACTCTTGCTAGATTCTGAGTTAAATATGACAAAGTTCATTTCACCACGAGGGAACTGTAATCCAAAAGCAAAACCAACTGCTGTCATTTGCAAATTGCTGATCTCTCTGCAAACCTTCAACCTAATCATTTATACAAGCTCATATTGCCTGCAAAGATTGCAAACCATTCAGGTTGACCGACTAGCATGATTTAATCCAAGTTGTAGATATTAAAAGCGTACAGAAGTAGCCCATAGCATTCCTCCTAAATAAATGCTAGCATTCCACTTCACAGTCATCTAACTAATAAAGGATGCCCATACCTGACATTCGAACATTGATCTAACACAGTTACGTGAGATTACACTTTTAATAGTGTTCTGTGTATCAAAAGCCGCATCAATGAACCTATTATGTGAATGTCCAAGAATTAATTGACAGCTGCTGAAACACAGTCTCACTACATGCAAAAAGAATTAATGAAGCCGCCGTGATAAAAAAATTCCAAAGACGGAAAGACATATGCACTAAGTATGTCAACAATCTCCGATCTGCTTAGGTACTGGTCCAATGGGATGTAAGTTAAAAAGGTCAACACCATAGTCTTCCTATAATGTCTGACGTATATATATTACTGAGCCAAGCACACATATTGTCCTGTCAGAACAGAGAAATGTACCATAAAATAAATAACCAGAGAAGAAGTTTTAATTAAGTGACCAATTAAACTGGATATAGAATTCAAAAAATGAAACCGTTACTTCCTGGAGAAACTAATATTGCGTACTCCTCTACTAATCATATCCATTAAAATATTGCATAAAAAGCAAAACTAGAAATAACAAAGAGAAATGATTGCATTTGAGATTCTTACCAATTAACATTCAAGTTACAGCTCTCACTAAGCACAATAACCATTCATTTTACAATATGGTACATATACCCTTGAAAAACATGAAAGAAAGAATGAAAAGACACAAATAGAAAGAATAATGAACTAATTAAAGCCAACCATGCAAGGAAGTACGTTTACAGATTCAAATTTTATGGTACCTCAACCCAAAGGAACAGTAAGCAGCTTGAAGAAACAAAAAAAATACCAAAAATCAGCTATTAATATACACAAAGAAAAACATAAATAAGCACTTTTTAATTCATTGTTTTAGTAACAAAATGTAAATCACATAATCTCCAAATTATATCCCAATTTAAAAAGAAAATGTAAACAGTAATCTGATATAAGTATCTATTTGTATGTAACATGTAAGGAAATATCGTTATCTTTTTTGTATCCTGAATACTATATACATTAACATTACTCCCCAAAGCCTGGCGCGCACACACACACACACACACACACACACACACACACACACCACACACACACACACACACACACACACACACACACACACACACACACACACACACACAACACACACCACACACAACACCACACACACAGCACTCAGCTGTCACCCAACCCATCCTCTTTCGCTCTCCTTCTATCTGCCAACTCAATTGCAGTCTGTTCACATCAAATAATATGAACCATGCATATAGAGACAAACCCCAAATTACGCGGATGGTGTTGTCCAATATGGACGGACGCAGGTAGATGTTGATGGAGAAAGCGAAGGGGGGAAAGAGGGAAGA